GCGTCAAACGTGATGTATCTAGCATCATGTTCCGTGGGGCCGAGGAAAATGAAGGGGCCCTGGGACACACAAATGAATACACACAAATAGCAACATCCCCCAGAGTTTCCCATATATTCTGTTTTTTGTCTTTCCCTCCACTTCCAATATTTCCAAATATTTTCTGGGGAATCGACGATCAATTGTGTCTGTGTGTGTGTGTGTTTTTTCCCTCCTGAGAAAAGTAACTTCGCGCGAGTGACCCAGACGATGCACCCGACGCCAGGATCTATCCACGAGTCACTCTGCCCGTGGAGACCGACGCGGACGCCCGAACACTTCCTTTTGTGTCGGGGAAGACGTCCTTGCGACCGTTGGTGCCGAGGGTGCCGAAGCTGGCAAGACAGACCCGTCCATCTGGAAACTTGGACATGATTCTCTGGGTGCCCTCGACCGTCAAAACGAGGCAGGCTGCTTCGACGGCGGCGATCCAGATCGGAAGCGCGACGGCGAGAGCGTTCTGCGCGCATCCAAAGGCAATTCCAGTGTCGCCAGCGAAGGGGCCAGGACAAGCTGAGACGGCTGGTGGGCGAGATCGCATCAGACTCAGGATGGGGTCGAGACAGAGGGCGAAGCTGGAACCAATGAGAGGACATCCGTGTTCAATATTTCCGGTGCGCGCAAATCCGCGGTTGGTAACCCCGCCGTGCGGCGAAATGACCCAGCGCGACGAGTGGAGTAGCCTCATTGCCAAGCAGGGCCTTGGGGGGCGCCTATGGCCTCGAGGATCCAATGGATGTACTCGCGCAGAAGACTAGGAATAGCGGCTTCGACGCCATGGGGGATGTGGCCAACAGATGCCGCTGGCGAAGATGATGAAGCATGGTGGTCTCCAGCCCGATCGCGCTATCGATCATCGGCCGGCCGCGCGCAATGCCGGTCCGTCCGTGACAGCATGCCGCCTGGCATGCTTATCCTAGCGCGCTGTTTGAAGGCAGTACATCATAGCTTGTGACGGGAGCTCGAGAGAGTGATCGGCCTTTTGTTGTCGACAGAGCGGCATGCCTCGGACGCATTTGGTTGAGATTCTCGCAGGCGCAGGCGACTGCTGAACCCGTCGCCGACGCGCAAACTCGAGAGGAGGGCGGAGTGGGCGAGGAAGAGGCGGCGCAGCGCTTCGTCGCCTCCGCGGAGCCATGCAGGATAAGCGGGGCCGCCAGGGCCAGGAGGGGGCGCCCTTGACCCGTGCGACAGTTTGTTGAAACTCTTCGAGGCAAAGCTGAAGGAGCCCCAGGACACACAAATAAATACACACAAATAAAAACATGCCCCATATTCTCCCATATGTTCTGGGTAATTCCCATATTTTCCCATATTTTCTTGGGAATCGACGATTAATTGTGTCTGTGTGTGTTTTTTTTCCCTCCTGAAAAGCCCCCTTTCAAGAGCAGGCGAAGCCTGCCGCGCAAACGGGCGATCTGCTCCAGCTGGTCGGGAACGCAGCTGTGGCCATGACGAGCCCTCGCCCCGACGCTCAGTTAGTCGCCTGGCAGCGACGCCGGGGTCGGAGCGCCCGGCCCCCCCGGGGGTCGGCGCGCCCCAGAGAGGCGGGCCCCGCGGTGACCAGGGGCCCACGCAGAGCAATTAGGGGAACAAAAAGTGGCATAAACATAAAAACTCGGAGGTCCGCGCGGATTTCTCGGATCGGCGCTGGACCATCCCTGGCGCGCGGAGCGCGCCGGGGGCGGCGCCGGAGGCGCCGCCGGGGGGCCCCGGCGCCGATCCGGGAAATCCGCGCGGACCTCCGAGTTTTTACGTTTATGCCACTTTTTTCTCCCCTAGCAATGCTGGTAGAATTGTCTTCGGCGACCGCGGCGCGTGGCTGGTGGGGCGTCGTGGTCTGGCCCGAGCTCGCGGAGGTCTTGCGCGTGGCGGCGGGTCTGCGGGGCCCCGGCATGCCCGTGGAAACCTCCCTTCGCATGCCGGATAAGCTTGCCCGTGCCCCGGAACTCCAGGCGCCCCCAAAGTCGAATCGACAAGTCGGATCGGCGATCGAAATGAGTCGGATCGGCGGAAATCGGCAGCCGAGTCGGGAGAAGTCGAATCGGCGGAAATCGGCAGGCTAGTGTGCCTGGCCGCGAGGCGACGGGTGTTTTTTTTGTTCGACCGCTCCTCTGATGTCGCCGCGAGGCGACGGGTGCGAGTGCGAGCCTCGCGCGCAAGCGCGAAGGAGGCCGCGAGGAGGAGCTCCGGGGGGGGGAGGGGGCCGCGGGCGCCGCGAGAGGCGCGGCGAGAAGCCGAGGGTCTCTTGGGGCGGGGAGAGCACTGCGCGGGGAGCCTGGCGCAGGAAAATCCTCCTCCTCCTCCTCCTCCTCCCCCTCCTCCTCCTCCTCCTCCTCCCCCTCCCCCTCCTCCTCCTCCTCCTCCCCCTCCCCCCCCCCCCCTCCTCCCCCCCCCCCTCCTCCTCCTCCTCCTCCTCCGCCTCCTCTCCTCCTCTCCTCCTCCTCCTCCTCCTCCTCTCCTCCTCCTCCTCCTCCCGCCCGCACGAGCCGCGCCCGCCCGCGGAGCGAGGCGTGCAGCGAGGCGGGGCCAGGGACGGTCGGGGCGTCGCCCTTAGAGGAAAGAGGACTATGCACATGCACCGATTCTGGCCAGGCCCATCCTGAGCCCAGGATCGGTGCATACGCCCTCCTACCTTGGCCAGAAGGGTATATGCACCGATCCTGGGTCAAGGACGGGCCTTGCCAGGATCGGTGCATGTGTATAGTTCTCTTCGCCCGAGCCCTCGCTCATGACCTGGGGCGCCTCTTCGGGACCTCTGAAGAGAGTGGGGAATCCGGGGCGCCCGCGGCGGACGGCGCGGTGAGTGATGCCGTGGAACTGCGCGCGTTGAGACTCGCTCGCAAAAGTGATGCGCCCTCCAGCGCCTAGAACTTAAAGATATGCCATGGCCGCGGATCCCCTCGACTTCTTGGAGGAAGACGAGTTTTGTCTGGGACCCCGGGTTTCTTGATGGCCAGCGGCATCATGACGTGGCGGGGCCGTTTTGCGACTTCGATTTTCCTCTTGCAAAGGCTGCGGTTAGACAGGGCCGAATTGGACGCGCGGTGCACGTTGGGGGCCGAGTTGGTGTTTATCGCAGGGAACGGTCGAACATTTCTCGGAAACGTCGAATGTGGCGAAATCCCCGGGGTCGGGGGAACCGTCAGGGGGAGGGGGCCTGGGGTCGGCGAAAGAGCTGGAAGAAGGTGGGGGGAGACGACGAACGGCCTCTTGAAGCAGAGGCAGGAGTGGAAGTGCGCCCCGCGCACTTCTGCCTGCGCAAGACCCCGGCGCGCGTGGCTTGCGAGAAAATTGCCGCGGCACGTAAGGGCGGTGCACCGCCCTATTGGGTGGCTGCCGCTGCAAGCTTGTCGGCGCCAGAGCGGTTGATGCCGAACTGGGCGAGACTCTCGTACTTCGCGTCGAACGCCGAGGTGTCGTCTCCCGTCTCAACTGGCACGGCGAGGACATGGACGTCGTCGTTGCCGAAGAGAAGGAAGAGGAGGCCACGCGGTCCGTTGAGTCCAAGACGGAAGTCGGTGCGCCATGTGTTCTTCTCCTTCATGTGCGTGATGATGGTGTGCCAAGAGTCCTCCCAGGGTTTCGGGATTTGTGTCTCATGCGAATCTCCCGGCGCGCGTCGGGCCTGCAACGAAGAGGAACCTCCTAATGAGTGCGAGGGCCGTGCGAAAGCAGGCCAGCCGCATTCATGGCCTCGAAGACGGAGCTGGCGATGCCGGTTGATGAAAGCCTGATCGGGTAGCTCCTCTGCATGTTTGTGGCGGCGACTCCTGTTCCTTGGCTGTGAGGAGAAGGAGTGGCGCGGCAATAATTTTGGCGGGGTGATCGGTCATCGCGCTTGCCAAAACGGGACGCGGGAAGCCACTGATCCAGATCTGGAATTTGTCAGCAGCTCCACCAGAGCGCATGGGGCTGGGGGGCTCGCCGACTGCTCGACGCTGGAAACTGCCTGAGCGTGTTGAAGCCGCAAAGCTTGCCGTCGAGAATCCACTGCGCGTCGACCGGAGACCGATGGGGCATGGTGAGGCCAGCAGGTCTCACACGCAGCCTGACGAGCTTCCAACTTTGCCATGGTGGAAACTTCTGCCGCGGCTGCAATCCTCTAGGTGGTGCCGGTTTCGATGTTGATCATCTTGGTCTCGGACGCCTGGAGCTTGGCTTCATGGCCGGCGATCTGAATCTGGATGTTCGCAGTGCCGATTTTCGTGGCGACGCTGGGAACTGTCTGGTTCATGCTTTCGAGGAGGCCCATGAAGCCGTTGGGGGGGCTCTCCGTCGGCGCAGGGGAAGGGGACGGAAACAGCGGCGCAGCGATGCCACCGACCTCGAGGAACTCGAGCTTCTCGATGTCGATAATCTCGGGCGTGGTGCCGTTTTCCGTGGCGACGTCGCCTTTCTGACCGTGCGCCCTGGAAGGGCCCTCGTCCGCGCCAGCGAACTCCTCACTGGGTGCGACCGCGGAAGACTGGGGCTCCCCAGGTGTGACTCTCGACATGTCTGAAGCACCACGAACCGCTTGTGCAAGACAAATTCTTGTTTACTCGCAACCGCGGGTGCAGTGTTAAATCTGGACTCGCGGGGCGGGCAGCTTGCTGTAGTTAATGATCAAGAAATCAAATCACTTAGCTTCGGATCAGGAGGTGTCCACTTCTGGCCCAAGGAACCTGCAGCCTTGAACCACAATGGCTACGGAGAGGAGGAGGAGGAGGAGGAGGAGGAGGAGGAGGAGGAGGAGGAGGAGGAGGAGGAGGAGATGGAGGACGAGGAGGAGGAAAAGGAGGAGGAAAAGGAAGAGGAGGAAGAAGAGGAGGAGGAGGAGGAAGAGAAGAAGGAGGAGGGAGGAGGAAGAGGAGAACGGCACGAAGCAGGACGACGGGGACGAGCGACAGCAAAGGACGACCACCGACGACGAGCTGGGCGGCGGCAGGGCCGCGGGGGACCCCGGCCAACGCGGGGGCCTTCCGGGCGGAGATCTGCAGCCGCTCCGGCGGCCCCGGCTCCGCCGCGCCGCCCTGCCACTCCAGCGCGGCGCCTCGGCTCGGGCGCTGCGAGAGGCGCCGCTGGCCCCGGGTGCCCCCCAGGAATTCCAGGGAGGCACCTGGCAGACAGGCTCGGGTCGGGCGAAAGGGGGGGGATAGCAAAGGGGGGGTTTGAGAATCAGCTCACGTAGCTGATTTTCCGGGTGCCTCCGGGGTGCCTCCCGGCCGGGAGGCGGCTATGTATCGAGGAATGGGCCCCTCGGTGGGGCCGAAACCAGCTGCATGCAGCAAATTTCGTACCCCCCCCTTTCCCAATCCCCCCCTTTCGCCCGGCCCGACAGGCGCGTTCCACGACTCGCCCAAGAACTACTCGCAGATGGCCTGGATCCGCCGCGGGGAGTCCACGATCCACTGCGTCGAGGCAAGCAGATGTTTTTCGCGCGTTGGCGAGTAGGCACTTTGCGAGTAGTGGAACGCGCTTGGTGACCTGGGGCCTCCAGAGCACCCCATGACGAGGCCCAAGGGGCCCAAGGGGCTCCAGAGTGGAGCGAAAAGCCGGGGGCACTAACCCCCGATCGATAAATATCGGTCGGCGTCGAATCGGGAAGACGGATCGAGTCGCGCCGCATGAGCGCGGCGCCGAAACCGAATCAGATCGGCCGCGCCAAGATGCACAACACCGCCCTGGGAACACCAAGACACATCGGCTCGCCGGGATCTCGGAATCGAGTCGGATGAGCTGGCCAGGCTCCCTGTTGAATCGGGTCGATCGGATCGAAACTGACCTTGCAGGCTCTGTCTCCGCGGGAGGTAAACCATGCACCACCACGATCGTCTCAATGAATACGGGGTACTGGAAGTCCCCAACCGTTTCCCCAGCGCCAGCTCATCCTGGTAGCTGTCTTTTGACAGCCTGGGAGCCGAGAAAAACTGACCCGAGAGGCCGCGAACGACAAACAACCTACGTTCATGTTTCGGGTGTCTCCCAAAATCTCCCAAATGGGGGCCAGAGCAGCTGGGGTCGGAGAATCGCGCCGCATCGTTGACGCACCGCCGATGCATCGGCGACGTCGATGACGCCCGCTGCTGGAGCTCCTCCCAGAACGTACGAAAACGCCGGACAACCCCGAGCGACGAAAACGCCCCCGTAACTCTGACTGTCATGGCGACGATGAACTGGAGGCGAGGGGGCACGTTCGGGGGGGCTGGCTCAGGGGGTTGAACATTGACCTGGACTCGGCGATACGTCGGCGACAGGCCCCGGACAGCGGAAACGCACGCGCCCTGGCGGGATGAGGCTATCGTTGGGTCTGGCGTGTCCTGCGGATCTAGGACGAAAAAATTACCCTAGCGACGTACCCAACCCTTGCGCAATGCGGGGAGTAAGTACATCAGGATTGCTACAACGGGGGCGATGACGTAATATGGACGCATGTGATTTTGCGAGCAGCAATCGGAAGGCTAGCAAGCCCCCGATCAAGATATACGGGCTACGTAACAACAAATCACCCCCGTTGGCTGTGCCATGCGCCCGTTGCACCCAACGTATCCCACAACAGCTCTTGAGAGCCCCCCGC